AGCACAAATGGTTATCCATTGTATCTAAACCTCGTTAAATCCGACTAACAATTAATTTCTGACATATGTTCTTGATTAGTTTTTTTTTTATCACATGACTGACTCACGCAAGCTATATGGAACCGCTGTCAAGCAAAGCTTCAGCTGTGTTTTGTTAGCGCCTGTGGACACCAAGCTGAATATTTTCAGCTTTTGTCATCAAAACGTAAAAGATGAGCCTTCCGCTTCGTCAAATTAGCAGAACTCAAAGTGGTGTAATTTTGCTGCCCTTTGAAACTCGTTGCCAAAGGTAAAATTATCAAAACTGGGACTAAATCGTTTGGCCGGGGTTAAAGACGCTTGACGGTCGTAATCAAGGTGACGCAAAACGGTCTAGGTTCGAAGCTGAGCGTATACAGCTCGACGCTTAACGCCAAGGCCAAATGTCGAACTCGATTTACATAGCATTGTCTCGCAGAGTCTCAGGAAAAAGCAATACGAAGGGGTGACAGCTTACAGCACAATATAACATTGGTCTTCATTTTATACTTTCCACTTTTGAATAATTGATTGTATCTAGCTCCCTCAGTTTCAAAAGGTCAATTTTTTACTTTAGATTGTGCCGTATCAGGGTTCATTCTAATAGCTCGAACCGCCGTGGACGTCCTGAATAGTGAGCTAATTTTGGCTAAATATATGTTCACCCATCATAACTATGTATGTCATATCAGTATATTCCTTCAAAGCCATACTGCTTCCTGAAATGAAAAAGGGTAACTCTTTTCAAGGAGCTTCGTTCACTTTAAGCAACGAAGCGTTCATTGATGCCCCATGCAGCGTTCACCGTTATAAACATCGGTAAAATGGGTAGGAAGTTTGTTCTTTTACAGCGTCGTTAATTCCCACCAGAACTAGTCATTGCTTAATGCATTTCCTGCGTAAGCTCCTCATCTTTGCCACCATTAACGTATCGGTCACTTGATTGGCTAACGCGGCTAAAAATAAATCAAGACAATATTTTATAATATGCACACGATGTCGACAAGCAAAAGAAGAGTCACTGGGTCTGCTCGCTCTCGGCGGACATGTTACCGTCGTCGATAACCGTGCCGTTAGGAAACGCTTTCCGAGATCGCTCTGACTAATACTTGCCGACAAATTAAAATGATTAGAGATGGACAAGTACCCGACGACCCGGCAGTACTTCTTCGATATTTTTGCTGTCCCGAAGCTTCATCAACGCGCCAGATGAGATTAAATCGTTTAGGTATCAACTAGCTATAACTGTGGGGTGACGCAAAAACACGCTGGGGAGCAGTCGAAATGGAAAAGCCGACCTGCCATAGATACAAGTCGACATGCCTACCTTCATACAGTACGTATAGATGAATAACTGGATTTCTAGTAAATCTAAGACACCTGTCATATTGTTAATTAACCGTGATTAAAACCGTAGTTATTCGATCTTAGCCATAAACATTTTTGAGTTTCTGTATTTAGTATTTAACTTGGGCGTATGTCTTAAACGAAGGCCTGCGTCAAAGATTCGAAGAAATATCGTATCAGCAGTTTGGATTTAGCAATTCCTGGCTTTCTTCAAGCTTTCCTTATTCAAAAAAAGGACCACTCGTATTATTTTGAATTGTTTCAATATATAACACTTTCAAATGATTTTTTCAATTATATAAATTTTTATAACGCTCTCGGTATTTTATTCTTTAGACGGCTCATTGACTCTCTAATGTTTTTGCCTGAGAAGTACTTCTGAGTTTACTAATGTGAGTACGACCGCTGCAAAATAATAACCTATTAAAGGATAGAACGATATTTTGTATCTTAACTATAGCTCTCCTTTAGATGTTGAAGGTAAAACGATTGTGATTTGACGATCGGAAAGTTTGAAGCTGCGGTAGTTTGTCATATTTGTGTTGTTGTGGCCGATTCTGATACGCACCCATCGATTGCCAAAGTCGAATTTATTTAGCCCAGCAGCTAACAATTGGTTTGGCCTGTTCAAGGAGGCCGTCTACAAATAGATCAGCAATAAACGTGTATTGCATATCATTTATATGCTGTAACACAAAGTGGTATGGATAAAGTTGGTACGTATCGCTGCTTATTTTGAGGTACGGAAAACCGTCGTAACGCTATAAGTAAGACTCGCATATGGAAAATTTTAAAGCAAATGATAGCGCGCGTTGATTTTGATTTGATTTTTATTAATAGTCCGTTTCGTGTAGATACGCTACTGTAAGCGTAGCTGAGTGTATACCTTGCATAATGGTGAGGAGAGCAGGACGTAATTTGCTGTTGTTTACCTTCAGTTATTGTTAATAGTCTGGGCGCTGGACACATCTATTTATACGGCGGTATCAAAGGTACGCTGGTTTACTTTTCAATTATCTTCTCATTTTACCGACTTCTAATTTTGCCCAAACGGCGCGCGCGTCAGTTTCTTCGCTTTCCCCTGGCCTGGACGACGGCAATGATTAAACTGCTCCCTTACGTATGTAGGCGTAAAGCCTGCGATATCGGCGTCGGCCGATTCACGTTGTCGTCAAGTTGCTTTGAGGCAGAAAACGTTGTAATCAGTATCATCAAACAGCCAAGCGGCGCCATTCTGTAAGGCGTCGCTGGTCAACAGTGACGTCACGTGAGCAGTCCTTTTGCTTCTTAAGAAAAATCTGGTGCGTGGCCAAGTGGAAGAGGACAGCAGCGAAGAGATATAACCACCGCAGGGAAATTTGATCTGATATCAGATCACTTTTTTACCTAGACTGTTTTCAGGAAACATGGTAAAGGTTTTTGGGAATCTTTTATATGAGGAGATCTGCGCAGGTCTTTTGTGGCGTTATCTGCTTGTATACAATAGGATAGATTGGGGCACCCGTATTCTATTGACGACCAAAACCATAATATTCAAATACGTATGTCGTATTGTGTGCAAGCATCGAGAGGGCTACGTTTCGATAAATTGAATTAGATTTTCTCCGGGGAGGATGGCGATTCGGGAGGCATTTTCCAAGTCTGACATACCACCCTACCTCTACACTATGCGCCTGTACATCATCGTATGTATTTTGCTTTATATTATATCGTATAGGCCGGTCACATGTTTACAATGATGTTGGCTTTTTTTTTTTTTTGATGTTTGCCATTTAGTAATTTCTGCTTGCTGAAATAGTGTAGTAAACGACATTGTGTGCCATTAGTACTTTTATCGTTATGCTCTTTACTCTTATCATGATTATTAATAAAATTTAACATGTTGCGTGTTCCGCTCAGACGCGAGGCCACCGCTGCCGGGCCAACAGCTGTCGAAGAAATCCCTTTGTTATGAGGCAACCCGTTCTTTACTACCTAGCTTGTCCTGCAAAGCCATTAGCTAAGATCATTCAATCTATTTCTCTTCATTTTTCATGGGCATTGTGCAAGTAAAGGCAGTCGTTAATATCGTTTCCGCTACGCTCGTGCGATTCTCTCCACGACCGGTTCGTGATCACGTTCACCCTCCGCCAGTCGTTGGTCGATGTTGAAAAGTTAACGTAATCTGTCTTCACACGGGCGAGTGGCACGACCGCCTCACTTCCAGCGCGCTCTGCATGCGAACATGGTCCGAGAGGGTCACTATGCCACTCGAGATGACATCAATTCAACAGGCATCACATATAAACTGGCACTGAATCATACGAAGTTAAAGCCAACTAATAATTAACTTTGTTTCATCGATCCAATTAGGCGTTGCTTTAAAAGAGACAAGCAGCTAATCCACAAGGGTAATCAGTTTGTGCATACGTATACTGATGATTTTGGCAACGCCAATATTATTTGCCACATCTCTGGATTACTCGATTCGATTTGAAGAAGAGCTGAAATGGAAACTTCTAAAAGGTACCTTCAAGCTTATTAAACCAGACAGCAACAAAGTGTGTATTCGTGAGCTCCTTTGGTGTGTTGTGTCCCGTACTACGACTTCTGGACGTACGAGTAAAAAAGTCGACTATGTTGCTAAGTTAAATAACTTATTACATACTTAGAAATATCATATTTTATATGTGTATATATATAATATGATATATATAAATACCATATTCCAAAGATAAATATATATATGTATACCCTCATCTTTTCTGTCCTGGCAAACACTTATTTAGGGGCGCATTAGAGAAAGGCTAATTTTACTTTGTGCTATATAAGGAACTCATAATATATATATATATATATATGATAATTGCATCAAATTTTCGCTCACAGATTTAAACAATATCTGTCTTGTAGGACTAACTCTATGACAGTATGGATTAACTTAAGAAAAAATCCACGAAGAAACAGCGTTCACATGCCATATATGAGTATTCCACTACAAATCACAACTTCTACATGACACAATCGGAAAGCATTTTATAAACTGTGTGAAAATGTCTCTTTTTCTTATTCCATAAAATGTGAAAAGATGTCAAATGCAAAGGTCGTAAATTCTGCTAATGAATAACTGTTCATGCTGTTCATTTGTGTCGCATTTACAAGTTACCTCCCTGGAAGCTCTTTTATTTAAGTACTGCGTGCAAAGGTCAGTAGGCAAAGATCCGTTCAAATACGGGCTAAACCGTAATCGTAAACGAGCTAGACGACACGGTTCGCGTGCTTTGAAGGTCTCCTTGTTGACTAAAGGTGTTCTATCGCGACCCTTTCTCCTCCTATGTTTACGCCAACTGATCAAAATTAACAGTCATTGACAAGAATCAGCCGATGTATGATATACAACGAATATAATAAAATATGCTGATTTAGATTTTGTTTATTAAGATCTAGGAATAAATAACGGGGGGGGGGGGGTAAATATCAATATTTACCCCCTGCTATTTATTAGATTTATATATATATATATATATATATATATATATATATATATATAGCTGGTAGAGCTTTTGTTTTCTGTTCAATCACTGAATAGCCACATCAACGCTATTTTATCTGGTGTCATATCTGTCGCCTTTTTCTAATCGCTCTATGTATACGGTTGGCTTGAAATATATAATAGAAGTTCAACATACAAATCGGTATCTCAGTCGACCATAAGCGTATTCGAGATACGGTTTCATTCGAAGTATATGACGCAAGAAAATCATTGTTTTCTGGTTTTCCAAAGTACTCTTATAATACTGTTGCCTATCAGGCCGACTTATGAGCGTGTAGCGTCCAGAGCTTCAATGATAAAATGTAGTGTACTATCCTATGAAACCTTACGAGGAGGTTCAGTAGGAGGAACCGTACGTGAGATGGTCTAGGTTCGGCGTTGAGCCCAACATACACCGTGTTCGGTGGCAGCTTAAATTCGAAACAGTTAGTCTTGATTCACACTCAGGTACATCGGGAATTACGCTGTATCTGAAAAAATTAAAGCCAGCACAATTATCTTCTTGCTTATTTCCCGTATAAGAGCTATTTAACGGGTCAATCAAATATAAACAAATCAGTGTATTTTACTGAATATGGAAGACGTTACAAGCTTAAATTCGACTCATAATTCTGCTAACCCGAGTTGAATCTACTTTTTCAGAGAAGGGCTTAGTTTATTTTATTGAGAATATAAATGTAACGTACATAAAGGGTCTACTAAGACGATAACATGTATGTTCTAGAGTCTTTGGTCCATACGCCGTCGATTACAGACAATATATGAAGATTTATCGGAAACCTTTGGAGAACGTGTCCTCTATACGATGCACACGCATTTGCTAATCGCTCACTATATCGAGTACTTGCGGGCGTACAGCTTTAATCAGTGGCTCTAAGCAGCACCCTTATTGAATCTGCAAGGGAAACGACACTTAAAATAGAATCAGTGCAAAGTACTGGTTAAAAGAAGAATGTTTTGACCCTTCAATTATGTTGTAGGATTGTGTAGCAGTGAATCGTACACAGTCAACTCTCATTATGCATGAGCATATTGTTTATACACTGCATAAGCATCTCTTGCGAAATAGACCTCTTTCGACAAGACAGTATCGAACCAGAATTATACCGAAAATCTATATATTCTCGTGCTGACTTAATACTTGGTCATAGTACCCCAACAAAGTCTAATTTCGAACAAAGCTGACACTTAAGACTAGCATGAGACTAAATGCAATTGTCGAAATAGTAGAAGTTATCGTTCGTTGAGGGGTCCATTCTAAGGTCGAGTCACCAATTTAAAGCAATAAGTTTTTATTTGACACGCGTATTGAATCCTTTATTGTACATGCGCCAATAAACCGCTTTATCGGCAAAAGTCATAAACAACAACAGATCATAATAATAGCGACAACAGCGATGACCAAAGCAAACCAGTACCATTTGTAAACGCCAAAATGTTCTCTTACCTATTTTCAGGCAAACTATTTTTTATCTATCTGCGAAAATGCCGAGACGAGAAGATATAGAGTGAAAAGCTTATTGTCACGTAATCTTTGACCTCAACATGAATATAAAACACAGAAAAGGGTTGATAAAACAATAAGTACAATATCGTTGAAAAATGTGTACAAACATAAACTTCGTGTTAATGCGTATCCAAACAACTCTCAAGCTGTGATTCACTGAGTAGGCGTCATAAACAAAACATAGGTACCTCGTCTCCAATCGACGCTGTAACTTATTCAACACTGAGCTTTTGATGTGTAAAATACAAATAAATCAAACTTTACTAGGCATATGGTGAGACTCTTTCAAACATGACAGCCTAAATACGTTTGGCGTGCCAGGTTTCTGAAAATGTCGCGTTTAAATGCCAGAACGCAACGCAACTCCGGATCGGCTGTGGGAGACTGACGGCGTGTTGCTGGCGTCACGGGCTGCAGGTTTCAAACGTTTAGATTAAGTGAGGTCATACAGACGAAACTGCTTCACTCGAACTACGTAGCTTTTCACGCCACTGTGTGTATCGGCCTCTTGTGGTTCCTATTCCCGTCTTCGATCACTTTCGTTGACTGGATACCAAAGAGTCGATAGTTATATACTTTTCCACTCTCGTTTTTCAATACTGATACAGCATCGAATATATTGTAAGATGATAACCCTTTGTTTAATATAATGCTCTATTTATTTCTATCTTGGTGCGGATTATTTGATCAAAGCTGTAAACCGTAGTGCTAACGAGCAAACCGCACAAAAGCATGTATATCGATGTTCATTTTTAACTTCAAACTTAAACATATACTTTCGTTTCAATCTAATATCGTCTGACGATCACATAATATTGCCCGATGCACACACGACATTGCGCCGATGTATAGCAACAAGCTAAAAATAAACAAATATCTATTGGCAATACTTTCATCATATGTGGAAACATCAGTTTGAACATAATTTCTATAGGACTTGAAAGGCGACATAAACCACGAAATAGCTTTCCGTGGCATTTTCCATAGACGCTTTTCTTACCAAACTAGTAAATCTACCTGCCGTCCTGCCTGCCTGTCTGTCCTTTGTTGAACTAAAGAAAGACTAATTAACGCTGACCGCTACGCCATTGAGTGCTAAACTCTTTCAAACACATGCGACCAGACACTTTGGCCCTTCTATTCAGTTCTTGCTCGCAGTTTCTTTACTGGTTGCTTTCTACTATAATAAATGCAGATAATGCATCAATCAGTTAGTTGAAGACATTCAACTAGATGGCGAGAAAGTTTGTCACTCTTGCCGTGGACGTCGAAACATCTGTCTGGACTAGCCGCTTTCTTTTGTTTAGAATAAGATCCATCGAGTCTCAAAGCGGTAGCTGCAGAAATTTACAAACGACGCTTCTTTGTTCTATTCCTGCAAAATTTTATACATGTGCGACGAGATAGGATAAAGTGCGGGCCGTATGTTTCTATCTATTTGTCAGCATCGAGTCGGTTAACTTGTCCTGGCCTTACCGAGACTTATGAACGAGAGACCTTCTCTGTCATAAATTTCTGGTGACGGTTACCACAGAGGTCCGTATTACTTTATACCTACAACTATAGCTACTCCAACTCGAAGCTAGCTCTACGAGATGGCATCGAGCCGATAGCGAACAAAAGGCTTCTAGAAGACGCGTTGTCTACTGTCCATTACCAATCTGGTGCCTCATTCCTTTATAGCCATTCACACGCGCGTCAGCCTGTCTGCAAGGGCTTTTCCTTTCTTGCCTCCTGCGGGCATTGCTGACAATCGAGATATTCGAGAGGAGGTTGAATCTGCGGGTCGCTTAACAGCGGAGCAAAGGCTAATACTACAGCTACAGCCAATGGCTACACCAATCGTATCAGCGGCGATATAATGGCCCTATCCAGCTGCGCGCAGAATTTATCGATTCATGGCTGTATTCGTGATGTCGATAAACTAGCAAACGTTATCATTAGACTACAGCTCATGTACGCGCGGGTAGAAGCGACGTAGCATGAGCTGCGACTGGCAAACAAGGCGCCATTTTCCACTTTTGGACTGCATAGTTCATCAGCTGTAACTTAAATAGCTCTCAGTGTTCGTAGCTGTCGAAGGTCATCAATCCCGCAGTGATGGCGCTGTGTCCGTCCTTTCGATGACTTGGATACTTACATTTTAATTTTATTGTTCATATCGTTTGTTTAATATAGTATCACAGATGGATGCTGAAATTGTACAGTAAATATAATCTCTAGTCATTGCATAATGGATGAGACAATGTCATTCTTTTCTACTGTTCGAAACCGTTTAGCAACTTATTGCGTAAGTCCAATATCAGTTTTAAAAAAAAACATATATTCAATGATGTATATCATATTTATGTAGGGTGTGTCTTTGTATAATTTCAGAAATGCAGGTCAGGAAATGTTTGGTGACAAAATGAACGGTTTTCAGCGCAGACCGTCGCGACCCGCAGAACATAAGAGGATGGCCTTGTTTAATGTGCAAGGCCTAGTCGTATCGACAGATACCTGCACACGAGATCAGATACGTAAGGTTATCTGGTTCAAATCTCTGGAAAAGGATATCTTCGTTGGGTCATTCCCACGAGCCGGTGAGCTTCTAATTGGCCCTCCATCGTTAAGAGCTTTCAATACATAGTCGCTTTGTTGTCAAGAGTACCCTAGCAACCTTTTTGTGCGATTCTAAAAATCTTATCGATACTATATCGATAGCGGCTCTTGAAGATCGAGAAATCGCATGGCAATCCGATTACCGGGTAGAGGTGTACAGAAGCAAAAAAAAACCCAAGCAGAAAAAAAAAAAACAGAATTGGTGCAAGAATTTTTGCGGAGATGAGGTTGGCACGTTGCGCATTAATCAATCCATAGGTGGAAGCTGGGTCCAATACATCATCTGGACGTTACTTCGTGGAACTGACAACGTTTTACCTACTTTGAAAGAAATGCGCACAAAGTACTTCCCCTGTATTGAGCAGGTGGACCCGGACTACGTGGACAAAGACCTCACAAAGGTACGCTTCGATGATCTCTCGGCCTAAACCAACTAGGTTCACAAAAGGTTCAATTCGAGGAATATGACTGGGCAGCCACACATTGACGAAACAGTCAGGTTGATCGGTGGCGTATCTGAAGGTAATAAGGGCTTGAAAGAAAATTGCTGCTATGTACCTATGCAACCCAAGACCATTCGGGTCGACACGTTTAGTTTCCATTTAGAAGCTTTATGCTACACACTACGTTAAGAAAATATCTTATTCTCGAATAACTAGCCCATACACATGCTTTTAGTTAAACTGCGAACACCTTTAAAATAGTGGACATGAACATCTAATAATTCGCTCTGTATGTAATATGTTTTCCTTTGGTTTTATTTTTAATCTTCTAAAATTGTATAGCGCAACGAAGGCCGTCTTATCCACCATCATCTTCCGAGAGCGTTCGTCCCAGCAGGAGTTCAAAAAAGCATCTATATCATCCGGAACCCATATGACGTCTGTGTGTCGTACTACTATTACCTTAAAGTCAAGTAGGTTTTAATAGACGAAGTGGTTCCTTAAGTTGACGTTACAGGTTTTCACAGACGCGTTACCCATTCGAGTTAGTTACATCAACCTTGAATTAATCGAATCAATCGAGTAAACAATTGTCATATTAGTGTCGGGCGAAACATTTGTAAAGGTTGCTCCATTGCTAGACGCCTACCGATTTTTACTCATGTTTTTGTCATGGCACCTTTACCATTATGGTTCCGTGCTACAGTCAATGTCGTTTCAGTATGTTTCTCTGTTAGCGTAATAGATTTATAATAATAAAAGTAAATGTATCTTTGTTTCAATGTCGTTGATATGAAACAGACTACGGACTTATAAAGGTTTTGCTAAGGCATTGCGACCTCTTTCAAACAAAGCGCCAGTGAGTGTCACGAATGCTCATTTGTAGTAGCTCGCCATTTGCAATACTATACGTCATAGCGGGAGGACACCCTGAGCCTTCTTCCCGAACGTCTAACCGGTTCGTCTGGAATCAATTGGACTCATGCGGCAAGGCTCCGATGTTAAACATTTTTTTTATGACCGTTGTTACATTGACTAGCCTGTATAAGTGTAGCAATGTCGTAGATGTAATTTTGTTACAAATCAAATGAAAATGTGGTGTCGTAAAGAAAGGATGATGAACGTGCTTGAAACAGCTTAACAGAGTAAACGGTAAATTTTTAAATAGTAAATTTTTCAAATTCCAATATAGTGGAACGTTTTATAGAAAAAAATGGCTCAAACATTTTATTGTAGAGGCTTTGACAACGATGCCCAAAGAGCGTTCTTACATAACTCACTCATAAACTTTCATAATCTATAATGGGAACAATAACCTTTCTAATAAACCGAATTTGTCATAATCTTTTACGATCACCGTTATATCGGATGTTGGTGATAATGATCTTCGAGCAAACCAGTAGCTCGATTTGCTCGATTCGTGAAATCAGTAAGTCGATCCGGTAAGAAAATGTCCAGTGACATGCAGATGTACTTTTCTATATGCAATCACAATTCCAGTGGAAAGTATGAAGCCGATTTCGGGGACTTCTTTGAATGCTTTTTTCGGGGTGAGGTTCCGTTTGGCGACTATTTTGACCACATTGCCAGCTGGTACGAAGCTCGAGATGAGCCTACAACTAAGATTCTCTTCTACGAACAGATGATGGATAACCCTAACCGCGCTATAGTCGAAATCGCTGACTTTATTGGCGTTTCCGTAACACCAGAACAAGTCTTGGTTAGTAATCGCATCACGTCGTTAGAGAAGCTTTGATAATCCGTGTTAGTGTTCTTGCCCATATAGCCTTCGTATGAAAAGAGAAGCTTTACGACTGGGTAATCTTGTCGCCATGGCCACTTGTAGTAACGGCACTTTCATACGCATCAGGCCTAACGCTTTGAAACCTAACCGGTTTGAAAATGATTAATGTTTTTTTTTTTTTTTTTTTTTTCTAATATTACTGCTGCAGTGGCTATACTGTACGTCAAACTAGCGACTGGACATACATCATGGCGTTATCAAATTTTTTTTATGCTTCGATTCTAGGAGATTGCGAGTCTAACGAACTTGGAATCGCTGTGCGGGATTGAAACGGAAAACGTTTCCCGGGAACACTATCGTTACGCGTATAATGGCGACTGGAAAAAAATGATGACCGAAGGCCAAAAGGTTCGCCTTGATGAACTCGTCGAACAGTTTCGATACACGGATATGTACAAAGTATGGGTTCAGTATGCCCATATCTAATTTACTGCTCGTGAGACGATGCCAGCAATAACAAGCGAATGGCAACAAAGAGACCCTGGACCATATAAACACCGTACAAGCACGCATGCTTGCCAACATTAAGATGAGGTAAAAATTGCTTGACTACAGTTGACATACGATTTATAATGAATTGAGACGACTGTGCTAAAAAAAATTATATATATATATATATATATACTCAATATACATCAGTATTAATCATTCCAGTGTTGCTAACAACGAACGCCACAATTAACTAGCTGATCGGCTAATGATTACTATAGGGAAATCTGACAAATTGTGTGTTCATTCAACATGAACACAGAAATCTAATATGTATACTACTATTTTACTGCAGAATTAACATTTAAAACACGTGTCAGTAGCCGTTCCTGGATAAGACCGCTCGCATGTCTCGCAGCACATTAAGGTACTTCAGACTGGGTCTACGATACATAACGTTCCATGTCATTGTAATAGAGGATTATGGTTAGTTACCATCTATCTATAGCGGTTTATTATGGTGTATTGTTTATTAATCTAATAAAGGTAAAATAGACCTATGAATCACAAAGGATTGCCTTTTTGCAGCCAACGTATTATAGGCAGCCTAGGGAGTCATGAACATGTTAGCATGCTAAAGACGTATTTATATAATGTTTTCCCTATTTATATTCTAGACAACAGTAGGTAGTTTTACTTATCTACGTTTTCACCTATCAAACAGATACTGTCGCAACAATATACTGACGAAAGTTCACGTCCCGTATCTAGCGTGCTGTAAGAATGATTAAGCTTTATGCTGGCCGATATGCCGACCGATAATGCTAGGATCTTTAGTGAGGTAACAATGTGAAGACTTTTGGGGATATGGACATTAGAGAAGGGATAAATAACCACATTTTAAGAACTTAACTCTTTGAGAGAGACTAAACCATTGACATTGAGAGGCACCTCATATCGATACAAACTTAGCTTCCTAACGCTATTTTACATGAAGGCTACAATTAAAAGGATGCGCTGTGTGCTCCGTTATCGACGACAATATTCAGGACTTATTTTGACCTCTGACCTTGATGTCTGCGAATTTCTTTCAACGAATTTGTGCGTGAAACTGACATCTTAGGCTGGAAAACAAACATGCTCTATGAAAAACACGGGAGCTTAGCAATCCAAAGATTCATGGATTTGGACCACGTAAAGGGCTTCCTGGTGCATCCTTAGAATTATACTATGCTAACGACACAAAGCTGCAGTTCTTTCATTTTCTTTCCTACGCCGATACTTCTGTATGCGTTATTATGGATCAATCTGTATGGCTTCTGATAGAGATCACAATTATTATCTCAAGTATAAATGTTGTTTGAACGGATTACCTTTATTATTTACTAGGGTTATTAGATTAAATTGACTGTAGTATATGTACACATATAGCAATCTTACAATATAGTATTATAGTTTTTTTTCGTATAGTGTGTATTTTTGCACACATACCTAGTTAAATCATTTTACCAAACCAGAAATGTATTATATAATATTTGAATTAATGAAAATATACAGGGATACCATAACATGGTAGTGATGCAGGAGAATTCGTGCCTTATTTCGACTACGTATTATTTTTTTATGTTTACAAAATAAACTTCCCCAAAATTAAAATCCATTCCCCTTTCTACAGTCGTATATTTGGCTACGTATCACGTTGATATCCGCCATAAGATTCATTTGAATCTACAGCGTTAATAAATGCACTTTGTTCACCTATTGCACACCGTCGATATCTGATCCCAAATTAATATTACCTTTACCTATACTTATAGAGAGGTGGTTACATGTTTTAGTACCAATTTTAGAAGATTGTCACCCGTGTACAGCTGATAGCGGCGCTAAACACTTTTTGCTCGCCCATTTTAACAAAACGCATGTAGTCTGTATACGTTTGAATTTCTGTCTTGTCGTCTGCAGCAGTGGCGAGGAGAGTGGAAAATCCGGCTTGCCTCAGCTTCAAACCCCGTTTTATTATGAGGCTGACCACCTTCATAAAATGATTATAGTTCCTAATTTGATCTTATCGTCACCTCTGCTTATAATAATAATAATAACAACAGATTTAAGATCTATTCCCACTCTGCCACCGGGTATTGCCGCTGAGCGATTTCAGCTGTTACGCGAAAAAGTTACAGCTTCATCATGTTCTTGCGCCAATCATGTACGCAACAGGTGTAAACATTTACAAGCGCCATGACGATTACATGTTTCAGCTTCGATTTTTAACGTGGTCAACGTATTGCAATCGAGTTACGCCGCTCGGTACGGATGATGAAACTGGTAAACACACAAGCATGGAAGAACGAACCTCTGAATATCGTGTATGTGCGTGCTTGCCATCGCATCCTACGAGGTTCATTGGGAAAGCCGAAGAACGTTGTAAATGATTTCCTGAATTTCTTCAACGATCTGCAAAATTTCATTCTGCTCCTTTCGTAACTCTTCTAATTTGAGCAGAAGAACCTTATCCAGTTGACCGTTTCTCTGGGCTAAAATATCCGTCAAAGGCTGAAAGAGAAAACGTATATTAAATTCGAACACTAATTATTCACAGAAATACAAAGCTCAATACTAATAACTACAATAACTACTAACTTTCTTTCTTACGCTCGGTTTAAATTAGTTAGTTGACGCATAGAATCTGCGCGACAGAGGAATTCTATATAATGGAAGGCTCGCCCGACGTTTTATATCAATATTAAAATTTGATGTCACTTCTATCTATCAATGCATTGATATGATAAACTTAGAAGTATCAGCTTTTCGAATCAACGATCAGCATAAATCACAACTGTTAGCTGTATAAAATATTATTCACAACTGTTTTTGCTGCCGGGCGCACTCTCAGCGACTGCGTCGTTATTTACCTGGGGTGACAGGGGCGGCTGGTGAAGCATGAGTTGTGGGGATGCTTGCGGCGGTGGTTTAGAGAATGTTTTAATGGTAGTGATAAATTGGCCTACGATTGAGTCAAACTCTTCATCAGTTTTGAGGGCTTGACTATACCAGGCCGCCATTTCAGTTAAAGAACCCAAAGCCAGTTTAAGTTGAAGACATGTGCGATGAGCAGAAATTGACTCTCGGTACCATGTTTGTAGACGTTGCGAAAGTTTATAGCATGGTTTCAGGCAGCGATCCTGCGAATTGCATTACAGTAAGAAAATATGACAATGCTACAATAACATTGCAGTCGTGTTTGGGGAATGGCATTTAAATTCACATCTGGTATTGTGTGGTGTAAAAAAAATATATTTCGTTTATCGCTATATTAACAATCGCATAATCGTTCACTTAGCCGGATCAATGTATCCTTTTGTGTTGTTATCATAGCAAAGGAGAAAGGATAAAAAAAAACTTGATTCAACTGTTGAACATCAATAAACACTGATTTAGCAGTACACACCAAACTATATGGCACCATTATCTACCTGCATTAAAGCCATAAGCTTAAGGCTTGTCTGCTGCATTTTATGTTTCTCCAGCATATGGAACTGCTCATCGTGATAAGTCAGCTTCTTCGTAGCCTGTCGGACAAATGAATCATTTAAATTATATATAATTTAAATAAACTAAATAAATAATTTAAATAAATATAAACTAAAGTGCCCGTATTAGTGTCAACGACCACAGAGGTATCCTATTCGACACCATTATCAACTTTGATGAACCCGTTCCTAAGCATTTGAACCGAACAGAAGTAATTTACCTTGTCCCGTGCTAACGCCTGCCAGTTGTCCCTAATCTTTGCCACGTAACTCGAGGCGGTTTCAAGACATCCATCGACCGGAGGAACTTCTGATCGGCGTTGCGTCCACTGTTTTGACAACGACTTTGGCGACAACACCTAAGCACAAAAGTCTAATTAGATTAGCAAACTCGTATATAATCAGCAGTCAATTGTTATATCGAATAATTAACTATCGTGTACCTGCACACTTACACCACTGTTCTTATAATAGAGCTTTCATACCGGTCGAGTATTAATGTCGGAAAATATTACGTGAACAATAAGTTTTACTTAAGGCTTTAGAACTATTAGCAAAAACAATTAGTTTCCTTCAGGCCCAGCACACAAAATCTGTGGATATCCACTTTAGATCTCTAATAAAACGGCAATTTAATAGATCTGTCAATGATTGAAACTTAATAATATTAAGTCATTTTTACAAAATTTGCGCACACTTCGCTTTTCACTGTCCTATTACTCACCTTCGCCTCTAGAGAATCAATCTCACGTTCTGTTCGGGCAAGGCTATCCAGCATCGGTCTCTGAGCAGCCGGCTGTTTAGATGCCACCATCCTCTTTAACTGGTCCAACTCTGGACTTTCCGTCGGAACTAGTGCCGTTAGTTCGCATATCTTAAGCGCAGAGGTTTATAATTATGTCTTTACCGATAACATTATCAAGCTCAGTTTGGCAGCCGATATAGGTATTAATGAGAAACATGAATCAGCGATTTGAAAGGTTTTTTGTCTGTCTGTGAGGCCACTTTATCCTATTGTAAACAAAGTCATTGGTCAGACAGCTGGTTCAGACGAACAGGTGTTGCGATTTTGATCTCAAACACTAACATTGTATCTCACCTGAGCTTGCGATTTCGCAGTTCGTGTAAGCTGCCGATCCATAGCGTAGGCGGCTTCCTTTGTAAAGCGAAACTCAGCTTTAAGTCCTGCTGTCCTTTCCTCAATGAGGGCGGCCAACTCCATAGGCGCCTAACATAGCGAAACATAAACAGTAAATTTTATGGGTAAAGGTATAATTAGATGCTCTTTGTACACCTATTTTAGGAAAGTTAATCATACTTCTACATGTTATGTCCGGTTGTGCCATTAGACACTGCCTCAAACGGTTGTCTGCCGGCATGAAATGAACCCCGAGTCTATGGCCGGGCCCGAACCTGGGCCAGTCCTATATCATTCCTGCTAGTATGCAAACACTAACCAGGTTGTTATTACTTTATCGCGCGGGCGATGATACGTTCTGAAGTAAAACTACCTTTTCAAGATGTTGGTAACAGCGTAGAAGCCTTTCAATGAGCCGCTTTGTAACGTGCGTAATACTGCACCAAGTCTTTGCAATAGATGCATCTTCATCGAGGTTCACGCCGCTCGATGGAAACTCCGGAAACTTTGCACTCTGCATACTCTGCACACTGCTTAGACGCACCTGTAATGAGTGCCAAGCTCAACATTTAATAATATGTGCTTCGATTAAACTACGCCAGTTTTTTTTAATTATTTCAATTTTGCTAAAACATACAAAACCAACATCAGCAGTGTAATATAACTGATAGGACAATGCTTTGATTCCATTTCGAACGATTTTTATCCCTTGAAAGCTAAAAAGGGTAGTTTGTATTAAAGATAGTCCTTAACCGATAACCTTCCATAACAGATTAAACGATAACCTTCCATAACAGATAATGTTTCACTTGCCATGGAAAATACCCATACATATTGTGCATATCTCTGAGGGCATATATCTTCAAAAAAGAGACAATACTTCTACGTACTTCTTTAGCTTCGACATTGAACAAATAGGCCGCTCGTTGTACGCAGGTGGCAGGAAGATGGCCATTCTGCTGTAGATAGTTCTCTAGCAACTGCTTGTCGAATGTAACCAGCTGATTCTTGGATGAAACATTGGTTTGTTTGTTTAGTTGCTCCGCAATGTCAGACATGCGAGGCCGAGTATCTTCGACGCCATCTAAATGAAAAATATGTGTTTTACCTTACGTGGAAATAATACTAAAGCGCGGTTATTTATGGTATGTGTACGCAAACGCTAAACATTCACTGCGACCCAATCAAATGTCTGACTGTATAACATACAATATTGTTTGCGCAAGACTGTTCAAACGAATAACCCTACAGATACGATTTTTCTGGATTCGTTATTATTAGTTAATTAGTTTAGTAAATTATTAGTTACTGACGATTTTTTTTATTATTTAGTATTTGAGAAAAAATTATCTTCGGATAAAAACGCCAACTGATCATTATTCATTGTCAACACGTTATTCAGTTACATGTCTATTTTCGCTCTCTCTCTCTCTATATATATATATATATATATATATATATATATATAGAAAGTATAAGAGATTTGTTTTTTTGTACTTAAGATCTTGCTTAAGTTCATTTTGCACCTTTTGCAATGTAGAGCACTAGCTCGCGGCACTCGCTAACATGAAATACGTGAAGTCGCCGACAACACAGAATGGCAGTAACCTCTTCGAAGAACCGATCGAACGACCACATCCTACTGCTATCGCACTCCATCACTCCAGCCAAAATGGGCACGAATAGTTCCTGTAATTACAGATTGTGTTTCAATAATTTAAGTATCGATGTTCGCTATATAGAAGGCTAATCCTGTCTAGTTAAGAAAACAAATTAGTATACAGAGGATATGAGTTAGACCCCTATTTGGTGAAAACTGTATTATTAATGAACTTCTAATTACTGAGATATTCAATGAAATATATATTGGAGATGCGGTGCTAACGTAAATGTTTGTTGCCACACATGTTATAAAGTGATGCTTAACCTTGAGCCCAGCACTAAGAAGACAAGTTTTCGGTAGGTCTCTGCCCCACTCTATCGACGAAGTGCTATGGTCCTTCTGCACACCCGAAATCACCCCGGATTCCTTTTTCGTCGTGATGAAGTGCATGCAGTCGCGATTTCTTCGCCCGCCATATGGTCGAAAGGGCAGGCTTCCGGTCGCCACATGATAGAGAGTTACCCCAATGCTCCAGAGATCCACATTTGAGCTGAACAGCTTGTCACCCGGTTTGCGCAAGACGGCCCTCTCATACATATGCGGATGAAGGTACTCTTCAGTTCCGTATAGAGACATAAATTGCTGATCCTCTTCTAGCTCGCGAGCCGCTCCAAAGTCAGTCAACTTATAAATCGAGCGGCCATCTTCAGCAACATATTTCATTATGTTTCCAGGCTTTAAATCTCGGTGAATAATACTGAGAAAAACACACAAGGGCAAAATAGATAAATTGGTTAGCTATATACTTCATCGAACTACTGTCGATGACTACACCTAGTAATGAATGATCAGTTGAAAAGACGAAACAAAACTAGAAGAACTAATTAGTTATATGTTGCTGCACTGATATAACATGTTCTGTCTCTCCAATGTAGATAAATAGACGAGTGGTCTTTTCACATTGACCAATGTTTACCTGTTATCACGTAGATGCTTCATGCCAGCTGTGAGATCTTTAAGTACTAATAAGAATTCATCCTCTTCTAACCCGTAAGAGTTCATAGGATCGTCTAGAATTGAGAACAGCGATCCTCCCGTGCATAACTCCATAACCAATACCTGATAAAAAGGAGATGAAACAGAGTCGTCACGATTTTCCAGTCAGAGATACACGACAGTGTTGCGAAGAACGTAACGTTTTGTGTCAGATTCTCTGGGGCTATCAAAAACAGCAGCTTATTCTGTGCAAACACAGCCACGAAATGTTCGTCGTCGTTAATTCAACTGCTTGCTGGTCATAGCGTACACTCAACTTTATCGAAATAGCTGAAATTTTAATACGTCTTTATTGCTCCTAGGATACACCATTGTTATAGCTGAAAAGATATATATATATGTGTACCTTGATTGAGGCATATATTCCTATTTTATAGATCCGTACCTTGCTTGAGTTTTCCAAATCATCTTCAATAGAAATAAGCTTGACAATATTTTCATGGTTCACCTAGAATACACCCAGAAGATACGAACAGAAATGAAAAAGCAAATTTGATCAGGGCAACTGCAGTTCTGATACTGTCTATTATCTGCGCTAATGGAAAAACTCTGCTCTACGTAAAACATAATGGATATAAAAACATATCGAATAGGCTATCCGCTTATTCAGTACACATTATCATTGTTGTCGTTAGAGCAGACAGCTGGGTTGAACATAATAAATAGTAAACTTACTACTCTGCTAACAAAAGATTCAATTCTAACCTTTCGCAAAACATCGAATTCTCTCATTTGTACATTGGCAGGACGATCAAGCGAAAGCTTGTTAAATGTTTTGACGGCCACAGGATCACCGGTTTTTTTATTTACGCCCTGGTAGACCGTTGCCGTCGCGCCTCGGCCGAGAATGCAGGTTGTACTCCATACATAATTTGCTGAGCCTCGCAGGTACGACATTGTGATATTGTTCCGACTAAAACGTACAAGAAAATTAAAAAGTCTATCACAACTGAGTTCCTGTGTAGAATAGGCCCGTCCGTGACCTTTCGTAGAATTTTTTTTTGTAGAATTAGAAGAATCCGATTTGCAAACAGTTGAAAATTCTTGAAACGCTTGGTCGTTGATACAGTAGCACAGAGAAATCGATAAGGCTATTCTAAGGTGAATCTGTTTCAAGTTTTATATCCGGTATCGCCGTTAGGCACTCCATCAGTACACTCCTGAAGTATTTCCATCAGCCTTCAGTAAATCGAAGCTATCCGTTTAGAAACGGACTTATTATTTAGATTCGAAGTTAAATCAGCTTTAATTAAGACTGCACAAAACTGATTCAATGTGTAAAGTTCGTTCCGCCAATTTAAGTACAGTGGAACGTCATTACGTGCCGCTTCAAGTTGAACCATTAAAGATTTTTTCCACTAGATTCAAAATAAGTGTTCCAACAGCAGAAAATTAAGCTATATTCCTATTAGGTTTTGACATTATGGACATCCTACGCTCACTGGCCGGCTACTTTTTAAACTTTAAGTTTCATCACTTAAGAGCCTAGAACTACATAACGATCTTGTTTAATTGTATTCATAACTAGAGTCAGCTTTTGTTTTCGGCAGATTCTCAGAGCAATCTGATATTTTAGCATAACTAATTCTACAATGTGTTTCTATAGAAAATTAACAATCTGACTGGACGTATTAAGTTGTATATCGACTTACCTGTGTCCAAGCGATACTAAAGTTTTCTGTGCACGAAAGAAGGCAACGCTACTTGTCAATGTAATGCTGTGTTTATGACGACACTGGCACGCAAAAAGACTTTAATTCTTTCCATGAGCGTAAGTTACAGTTAAATAGTGCAAAAACTAAAACAAAATCAGTTCACACCGAAAAATTCACCATTTCGCTTTCCGAAATCTATTACATGCCAACTGTAGGAAGCTGCCTGTTATACCCTTCACTCTTCATTTCGTAAATGGTATTCTTCCAACAGGCTTCAGTCATTATCAGGAGTTGGTACTTCGTTAGTTCCTACACTTCCACTTCTCGAGGGTAGCCACAGATTTGTGCAACTTTCGTACGAAAAACGTTATTCCTACGAAATGAGTTATCATCTTCTGTTGTATTTGCCTTCTTCTCCTCAAATCGGCACTCACGTCATTTCATCCTGTGGCCAAATGCTTACGCGATCAGCTGTCCGCAGATCACCCTCCTCGCCTCTGTCAGACGATGCAGATCGTTGTGGAGACAGCTTCGCCATGCGCACGATCGCATGTGCTGCGGCGGCGAACATCGAAGGATCACTGACCGTTACTGGCTGGGCATGAAGGTGCTCACAATTGTGTTGAAAATGAACGCATTTTTGGAAAAAATGTTATACGTATATACTATCTATAAAGCCGTAATGAGTAATACAGCTATCAGTTTTCACTGGCGTTATCTACCGGTTATAGAGGGGGGTGGATAATTTGGTACACGAAAATACATCCTGAGTTTGAATTCTCGTTTCTTTAGGAAGGCTAGCACGACTTCGTGCTGCGAGCAGATAAGAGCCTTAAAGACCTCCCAGTGCGTGTAGTGTAAACACAAATTGTGCGAAATTGTCGTATGCTATACATTAGATCTTTGTTATTTTCATATTATAGGTTGCCTAATTTATGTATGATTGTAAACCGACGCTATGTATATATATTGCTAAGGAGAAAATTATCTAGGTAAACTCAATTTCAGTGTTAGAGTCTTAGCAGATTATGGCCAATGCCACAATTTTTGGTTTATGGGTTCTTACAGCATAGGCTGATGTAGTTTAATTTAGGAATTCGAACAAAATTAGACCAGATCTTGTTAGCTTCAAGGTCATTTTTATATATGTATGCGGATACACATAATTTACATATTTTTATTAATATATTTACATAAATATTATACTTCGAAAACGTGTCAAGTAATGGTAGCTATACCTGTATTATTGTTTTTCTTATAATACGTCCAGGTGGATATTTACGCTGCCACCTGCCAATGTATTCAGGTACATGAGTAGGAGAAACTCATGTAAATCAACCCATCACCAAGACCATGAACGCCCTTGCTTGATATCTATTATAGGCTCTCCTAATATTCTCCAAATTCCAAAAATCCCAAGGCCTTAAGGTATTATAACTGAAGATTTTATATGTGCGAAATTATACAGTGTATTAAAACAGCTATAGACAGTACCATTTATCCGTTAGGCACTAGAATATACTTGAATATAGATAATCATTGAATAACATACTAGCATGCTTTATATTCATGTGAATACTCGACTTTATTTAAGTCGATAATATCGATAAGGTACGTAATAGCTGTGGCGTTTAGCCTTTTTACAATATGTGCCTTTCGCTGAAGCACCACTAGTTTAACAAAAGCTAAAGATAGGTGCAATCTACCGGTAAGGTCGAAAATTCCCGCATCGATATATATAGTTTAATAGAGTAATAATAGTAATTGTGTCATTAACATATCTTGTTACCTTTTTGTTTGTTACATTTTCTACACCGCTCATTTTAAATTCCAGTAGCTCAGTAACGAATATGCCGGGGTTCCAATTCAATGAAAAACACCGTCATATGGTTCTACCATGATTTCGGTCATCATCGAAACATCTTAAAAACCGAAATATTCTTATACAGCTAAAAAAATTGATGAAGATGAAAACACGAACTCTTCGGTCAAAATATTATCCGTTGTAGCACCATGACGCGACTCAGATTACTCGGTTGATCCTTTGAGGCACTTTAGCAGCTCGACGAGTGCGATAAGTACAAAAAGGTCGCTTCAGGTGATTCGTGAGCAGTTTATTGTGAAGTCAAATAATTTCAAATCTAGCCCCGGCAATCGTAAGCAAATTTTCGGTCCTCTAATTTTTACGTTTCCACGTTCTTGCATCTACCGAGTTTCTTCCCCCTGTTTATCGCACACATTGCGTCAGTTGTCTCGATACTGCTTAAACAACTCAGTCTACCGAGTTTCTTCCCCCTGTTTATCGCACACATTGCGTCAGTTGTCTCGATACTGCTTAAACAACTCAGTGGCTTTTGTCCACTAACATGGTTCCTGTACGACTTTGTGTTAGCCATAGAAGAGGATACTTCAAGGCATAGCTACAAAATACAAATTCCACTACAAAAAATATTTAGATGAGAGATACTACTAGACAAATACTGTTACATGACTGAATTTTGAGTGTAGTCTGACTCATTACGGATGAATGAGTTACTCGCGCAGCTTAGTTTCTCCAGTTGAACAGGAAGAAAAGATCCTAGAACTGCGGCGGATATTACCTACATAACGAAAAAATTAATATATTTATACCGCCCCAAATGTTGCGTGAGCGTCGTCGCCATCACACCTGACGCTGTGCACATATCGTCGGTCAAGTGCAGATCATCTGCCGAACGTCTGTCGGCACTTCACGGATCTCAGAGTCCCAAGGCCAAACAACGTTCTTGACTCTGCCATTTTTTGGTCGCCACTCGACCTGCGTGACGATGATGGCGGCAACTGGCCCGAGCGTCGTTGGTGTGGTATTTTCACCGGGCGCCTGGGTTAATACTAGGCCGCCGACGTGCGATTCGTCGGAGTCAAGGCTCGAGGACGCGTCGTCATGTTGGCGCAGCTGCAGCTGCCGTTGGCATTGGCGTTGGCGTTCTTGTACTTCTTGGCCTTTCTGGCCATTTAGCGGGTGGGGCTCGTTAACGAGAAGTCGAAAAAGCAATAGACCATGCCGGTTGCCTCTCAAAGAGTTGTGACCGTCGAGATTCTCAACGGCGAAAAGGAACGTCTCGCACACGCCTACCACGAACGTTTCTCGCATATGGCGGCGCATCAAAGTTAGTTTAGCAGTCGGGAGCATGCCATGGAAGTTGGAGTTGTTCAGTCGAATCGACCATACTGCATAGTCGCCATTGGCGTCTCGTTGTAAGTTAATTATCTCTTCAGGTAGGTCAATGTGATAGTGGACACGGAGAAATGCACCTGGAATACCCCAACCCTGTGTTGCTAGAACGGACTTGAAGCGGATACGCAATTCGCCGGCAACTTGCAACAGCTGTCGTTCGAGGCGATTTAATTTCCGCCGAAATGACACATGGGCAGGTATCATCTGATGGCTGCCTTTTGGAGACACCTCGCAGGAAAACTGACGCGAAAACTTTTTCATCACCACAGGCCTCTGCAGTTCCTGATCGCCGCAGCCCACAGATTGGAGGTCGATACGAAGGTCATCGTACCTCCAGCGTAGCCACAGAAGACCATCTGTCAGTTTGACAGCATCAACTGGTTGATTTTCAATATTTCTCAGTGGCGCGGAATGAAATAAGCTGAACTTTGCCACGTGGCAAAGGGTGTGTAGCAATCGCTGGGCAAATTGTGTCTTCTGATCGAACCAGACCGTACCCCCTCGTCGATCGCCGGTAAGATCGGCATGCTCTCGAAGAATGCTGGTGTCAACTAGCTCTTCGATATAAGAACTTTTATTAGCTTTCTTCACTATACACTGTTTAATTTCTACAGTGAGCACTGAAACGATTTTCTCAGCTTCGCGAAAGTCTGCCACAGGCCGTTCTAGCAGAGGGCCTTCGAACATTGTTGCTTTCTAGGCTCTGACAGGTTTTCGTCTCAATCGTTGTATATATACAGGAGCAAAACAAAAATCTTACCTTAAGGTAATTTGAGTCTGCTAATGTTTGCGCTTACATATTTAACATCATACAGCGTCCCTGTAAACGGCTGGTATCTAAACTTGTATTCAGTATGTCACGTGGTTTTCTTAGATAGACGAACGTTTGCCTCCTGGTGATATTTGTATGTATATATATATATATATATACAAATATCACCCATAGGCTTTTGTATCGTTTTAGTAAAAAACGAAGAGTATCTACTCTGAGAGGTGCGTGGCACCGTATGGCTTCTAGTGTAATCGGGAGTTTCGAAGTTTTCGTGAACTTATCGGAAAGAACTTGTGTGAAAGTCACGAGGATTAAGTGGGAGATCATGGATTAGATCGAATCGTGTCTTTTGGCCGAAACCTGCATGCTTCATTATTACTTATTAAAGTCAGGGAGCGATGCAGCTTCGCTTAGGTTTGAACAATGTTCGTTACCCTTTTTCGTTACCCAGTTACCTTTATGCGCTCAGCAACGTTAAAGAATGTTCTGCATAATACGTGTAAGGTCTACTATATTGGAAGTTGAATTCGTTGTTACAAGTTATCTTTCGGCGTTAAATTATTTTTAATCATAACGTGTATAGAATTGAGTTGGGTTTTTACGTCTTAGATACGAATTTGCTCAGCAATTTTTAAGTATGATACGTGTACTGTAGTACGTAATATGCCAATGCATTGGGTTTCTAAGTAGATAATAAGCACTTGCTGATGTTCACATGCTGTGGAACCGTGTAGACCATGCCCCTGTACTTGGGAAATAGCGTCCCGATAAAATGTTGTAATGGGCAACTGCCACAGAAAAAACACTTCTACATCGTAGTTGGAGCGAGGTATATAATCAGTATGACGATTAAATTACGGTGAGCGGAAATTGCCGGCTATTTCTACGTAATAACCGCAGTGCGGTTGGTTTATCTGGTCGTTTCAATTATGAGACGAACATTAAGGGAATTCGGCAGTTCCGTTGCTACACAGATGAATGTCAATCGTGTGCTAAATGGCTTGCATTTTGTCTTTCTGAAGAACGGCCGTGAAGATGCGACAACGCTCAGTTTTAATCTGGGACTGCTTCCACGATTATTCACGAAATTACCTCTTCACAAAGGCCTACATCTTGTTCTGAAGCATTTTCTGATCGATTGTAAGTGATATTCGACTAAATAGGGTCCTCCGTTGTTTATTTCCTTCTGCCTTCGGGTAAGCATTTGCTAGACACAAATGTCCACGGATCATCCTCCGTAATGTTGCTACCGTTGAGTAACTATATACTGTAGACTCGCCTATGGGGTGGAATTAATACAGCAAGTACTAGATAGCTTCGTATCTCGTTAACTAAGAGATGAGCAGATCCAATCTTTTGAAATGCACTACACGTTGATTCAAAGTTAAAGAAGTCGACACGAATCTACGAATTGTTAGACTTTAGTGTCGTTTATGGCGAAATTAATGTGATAACATGAATTATAAGCGCGTGGATGTGTGTACGTAATAATGATATCCTTATCTAGCTTGAATTCTGATACTGCTGTCAGATGGCTTCAATGACCCGTTACTCGTTGAGCGGCCACCTGGAGGACGCTGGTGGCGCCATCTATGCCAAAGAGCTCACGCGCAAGCCGAAGAGCACTACCAGAAGTACTAGAAAAATACCAGATCATGTTTTTTTTGCGTAAGATATCCTAAATAATATTCTGATATCCTAAATTTAGTTGAATGCCACTGATTAAATTACTTAGCGAAATCCTTACACATGTTTCGTGTCACTGGGTGCCCGCTGCCAACCAACTTTAAAAAAACTGCCGTGCAATCCAACAAGAATACAAGCATGTCCAGGTAAAGGCGCAGAAAAAGTTTATTAAAAAAAAAACAAATATGAATATGGAACGGAGCGCAATTGAACCAACATGCTAATTCGTTACAAACAAAAATCTCGCATTCGATAATAAACTAACTGATCATAAAAAGCACGCACATGAAAAGCTTGTTATGTCCGGAGCGAAGGGCTGCCCCCAGGTTATACGAAGCCCGGCCACATACTGAATGACGAAATGCAGGTGCTCGTTGGTCCTAAAATGCCGTTTGTACTTCGTGGCAAGTTCATGATCCAAATCCACAATAACAATGATGGCTCTACAGTCCGTCCAAACAGTGACATTAAAACGAAGAGCGGCATGCGTAATTTTCTAAACGGGCTCGCGGACGCAGCGGGTCAGTAAGGACTTTGTCAATGAAAAATGATTCAGTTAAGCGAAACAAATATCACTTGCCAACATTACGCGTAAATGGAATTTATAAACGAAAAGCACCATCGAAACATTGGTTGAGCCCAGATTTACACAGAAGCACTTGTAGGAAAAAAGCACACATTAATAAAATGCTATAAGCACTGCTACCCAACTACAAATTAGCACAGTGCCTGTAAGTAAGGACTGACTATAGCTGTAGCAGCATGTACCCAGTTACTGTTAAAGAAGAAAGAATGCCGGCTGAACGGGTCGTTGAAACCATTTAGTATCACCACGTACAGCCCATAGAGCAATCGCATACTAGATATTTAAAATTAAAACACAAACAACACAATGTAAACCAGAGGAGATCGCACTGTATCACGCTGGACCAATAGAAATACGACAGCCTTTAGCTGCGCCCAGCGACTCGTAAATTCAACCCTAAAAAACTGTGTTGCCATCCGTACGGGTGGGCGTTGTGCTTTAAGCGCAACCCGGTGTAGCTCACTCAAGGAATCGTCTGCACGAACGGCACGCTTTGTTTTTCAATGACCAACAACCCCACCACGAAATAGATAGGCAGAGTTGCCTACGATGTAGTTTAATAATAATATGATAAACGGGACGAACTAAAAACGTTCATCATAATCTCATCAGTGTACGTATGGTGCTAACGAAACGTACGTGAGAAATCGAAGTTGATAATCAACCGATGACTCCAATCCAATGACAGAAGATTATACTTAGCTCCTACGGTTAAATGCACACGTAATTCCTGGTGCGAGGTAAGTTATTTCCGTATTGTTTGAGACTAGCCTTTTAACGGAGCCCCGGAACAGTTGTAGAGCTAACAAATTCGCCCGTAGGCCGTATGTAGAAACAGAAAGACATGTTACTGATCTAAACAGAAGCGAACTGAGTTAAATCGCTAAAAAATTATTAATAATCAACAAACCGTAACGTATGGAATATTTCCATGTCAGTGGTTTAACAGGGGCATATGAAATTTTTCCCTACGAGGTAATAACATGTGGACACTTCATCGGCAGAGTGGTTTATAATGGGGTAGTTTTTTTTTTGATACCACTTTTTCGAGATATATATTATTCTTCACTGGACAAAAGTATTAAATAGTCAAATGATTTCTTTTCACCTTTACATGTCTGTGATAGTACTAACGTCTATGCTATGAGTAGGTATTAACGAAATCTCTAGGTAAAAACCATTAGAAAAAGACATTCAGATATTTAAACCCTAAATAATTTCAAAGGGAAAAACTCTTACGGTTCAAACAATCAGCACAATTTATATGCACTTTATGGCTCAGTGATAATAACCCATTTACCTGCAAGCCATACCCCAAAAAAACAGCTTGTTCCGGTCAGCCGACAAAAAATTCATCTTGGGTTGCCTTTTAAGCATAACAACAAATATAAACATAACCATTCTAGAAAGAAAATAGACGATCTGAAAATGATCGGAGCGAATTCAGTGCCAGAGCAGGTAAGATGTCCAGTTCATAATGATCCATATAAGTTCAATATACGAATACATAAAAAAAAATCATAACTTTAATCCCTTCTCAGTAGCACGGTCGATCTTTGCAGTCTTCAAATGAGGACCTCTCCGTGTTTCGACTGTTACGTGTGGTATTATAGCCATTTAGCGCTCTGTCAAATGGCTGGCTCCCCGCACGAAACGAATCTATCTATACCAAAAAAATTCAAGGACCTAGTAAAGCAAAACATACCTAGTGAAGCTGCTATGTCATAATGTAGCGTAGGAGTCAGCGCTTAATGTTGCATCATGGTTTGATCTATACTGCATAATACTATAGATATCGTAATTCTTGATTAGCTGCCCTTTAATCAGCTTGTTATGTTCCGTACATAAATTTCTCGTAGGTCTACTACAAATTCAAATGCGCTTCTTTATAGATGCAGTTCAGCGTCAGGTACTATGGTGTCCACCGCGGGCCTCATTAGTCGCAAATAATTGATCGTTACGCGTTGTTACGTCAAGATTGTTCGAGTTGGGCCTGCTCCTGCTTTTGTTGTTGTTATAGTTAAAAAAAAAATTTCAGTTCTTTCGAAACGTGACTATTGGCCTAGCTGCTGATGGCTGACGCCTTCTGCGTTTAACTTACATGGAAGGCAAGCAACAAAGAAAAGTAAGCAAGTCATAGTGTGCAAGACAATGGAGCTATGGAAGCTAGTCATCAATGGCAGTCAACGATACGCGCCCTGCCCGAAAAGCTTCATCTGGGAGACAAAAGACCTAACAGCAGCTGACTTCTTCTTAGATTCAGCTTATCAAGGTAGAAAAAGCAACAATTTTGCGCTTGTCGTAGGTTAGAGGCAATGAGTAGGGTTGGGGAAGAAAATGTCTCAATTTTGGGGTAATTTTCTGCTCAAGTGCTGAGCCATGAAGGCGAGCTTCGTGATCATTTCTGACTAGTTCTCCGTCTCTTTTTTCGCTTGTTTTCGGTTATTTTGTCTAACTCAAAAGAACAAGCTGTAAGTCGATGAGTGGACATAACCGCGCATATACACACACAGTGACTGACTCAAAAGCTGCTCTAAGCCAGAAAAACAAATATTGTTATTATTAGTAATAATCATCCTCATTGGAGTCTTTATTTGCTTTGAATTAGATCTTCGATAAGTTACTTGACAACTTTGCCGACGACCAAGAGCGGCCAAAGGGGCGGACAGCAATGAAAAGGAACGCTTGTCGTGGAATCTCGTAATCCAAAAGCGGCGGTAGGTAACGGTTGAAATCGCTGGCTAACCAGCAGTTCAGAAGCGCGGTGGCCATATGCACTGAGTAATAGAGGCGAATTGGACATTTCACGGCGGAATCGTAAAGGATGCGGAATAGGTAGCAGTTAACTTCTGCGGAACTTACAAGGATCCGTCGAAACAGACCGAGACGCTGCCAGTGGATGTTTAGCACCATATGAGCTATCGCGGTATCGTGACTACCGTTCGCCGTATCGCTTCAGCTTATGTTTAATAATCATCAAACTAGATAATTCAAAGCACAAGGCTATCCGCTATTGGTCAGCAACCTTAAACGGTATGTAAACGCGCACATAAACCTATAATTTGTGAGAATGAGCAATTTTATTAATGTGCTCCAAGCAGCGAATAGCCAGTTTGTTCGATCCGTCATCGACCACTCGCAACGCTAACAAATGTAACTGGTAGAAACTTGAAAGAACTAGCAGTTATCCAGATTAAAGGAGTCATCCATTTATGACAATCACGCAGAAAAACGTAGATGATGCTATCGAATTATGAATTAAAAGAAGACTTTCATTGGAAGATATATCTGCCTATTTTTTTATTTGTTTATTTAATTTTTCAATTATTGTCAAAAATAGCTTTTGGTTCCATCAAATTGCTGCAAGCCAGCAAATGTTATTTTAAGATTCTCAGAAGTTTTAGCTCTACTTAGCCAAAGGCATCTGTCAAAGCAATAAGTGTTAGACGACATCCCATACAAAATAGTGTTGATATAGATGGCAGTTGAAACACTTAGAAAACCTGTAGGCACCACGTGTCTATGAACGTATCGCTTAAGTGGTATCAAAAAAAAAAAAGTATTTCGATCTGTACGAGTCGCTGAATGAAGAAAGTTGTCATCTTTGGTTCTGTAACAGGAAGAATTCTGCCAGCGGCAGAAGGGTACAACAGCTGTAGTTGTTACTAAAAGTCTCTCGTATAGTAAGTAAATACGATCATGTTAAAAAGTTGAATACGAACATCCAAAATAAAATTTCTATTTACAAACAAGTCAGAACCACTCTGTGTTTGGTAGATCGTAAATTTATTAACATTCGAAAGCATCACTGGGTAGGAGGTACGCTAACCTGATGATTATATACATTTGTGGGGCATAGCCAATATATGATATTAACGTGACATAACTCACGAAACGCGAGAGGGCGAACGTCTGAGTAAACCCTAGCATGGTGCTGAGGCAAGTATCTCTGAAAAATGCTGAAGCCTATAGCCTATAGCTAGCAAAGTATAATGGAACATCCCAGGAAGACTCCCAGAGAGTTTTTCAGCTATCAAAGCTATCGTATCGAGGCCGACATCTATAGCTTGGCAAAATATTCTATAGATGCCTTTCTTCATACCGTCAATTATTTTCACTTTTGATATGTCGCTAAATAGTTTATAATAAGATTAAACCATATTGTGCTATTGTCCACAAATGTAGATAGTGAAATTTTAAATAAAAACAGGTAGTTTTACTTTAGCGACTCTTATGTGGCTATTGAAGTCGTTGCTGGGGCGCGATGGGGCTTATCCAGTATACTCTGGAAGGCTCAGTCCTGGTCGGTCAATGTAATCTATAGGAACAAAAATTTTGGTCACCCAGACGGAACTGTCCATCCCTCTAGACTTTCTTTGCCATTTCATAATCAACAGACCATTGTGTCTTTTATAGGAATCATAGCAAACTCTACTATTCTATTTTGTCAATGATATGTTTAAGTTGCTACGTTGGCAGACCAATCGCAGACAGACAAAGACGATTCTTTAAGACCCAACGGTGATTGGCTCGAAGTCGTCCGGCCAGCGAACCATAACCTGCTCGCTTTATCATCGATTGTTGTACGTCCATAAAAGAAGGAACGCACAGGAAAGATCGGTGAAAATTTGTCCATAACTTGTAGCAGTAGCAGCAGCAGCAGCATCCGTCTATTTTTCAATATTTTTCAGCGATAGTGGCTACGGATGACTCAATTAGAGACGTCTCACGCAGATTACATGTAATGTAATGTAAATGTGTGACAGTTTCACATGGTTATTGTATACTGCTATAACTGTTGGGCGACCTGAGAAAATACGCCTCGGCATATCGTGAAGAGATCATGTAGAATCCATTTTATTCTGACCATGCTTAGTTAACGATTCAATACGATATCAGGTCGGTTCTGATATCGTTAATGATTATTTATAGATAATTTCAATCTTTAGCTCTTCCCTCAAGCATTTCGAAGCGTTAAGACGCTCATCTCTACGAAGTATATCGGTTTCAAAGTACTAAACAATCTTGTTTAGTTCTTTTATCAACAATTTGAATCAAGTCTCTTTCAAAAGCATATCTCTTAAGTCAACAACAATGTACATCCTCACATAATTTCCTGTTCGGGTGTCGCATATTTACGTCTCGTGAGTTAACCTCAAAGACGGTAGGGTCTGCGATAGCGATAAATCATTTTGCGTCATAAGTCTAATCTGCCTATGCTAAATGTCGCCCCCCAATATTGATATTACCGTTGCCATTCTAGTCCTGACTAAATCCTCCTATAAAGATATCGTTTAAACTTTACTAAAAAAAGATACCTTTATTTTATCTACCTGCTTAAAAAAGTTACTAGAATATAGGCGACTAAGTTTTGCATATATATTTTAAGTTGTTACAGACCATTCTAGGCAACTTTGAAATGGAATAATTTTTGAATTACCGCCGCTGGAAGAGACAGTTTGGCTGGTACATTTTTCTGAAAAGATATGAGAAAAGGCCTGGAAGCATTGGAGAAGTGGATCCGGAAGGAAAAATATTTTTCAGTCTCGGAAATGAAAGCTGACTGGTAAAGTTCTGGCTCCTCGAAGGCCATAGCACTGCGGAAATTCATCAAAGATCAGTGGAGATATTAGGACGCTTTCGTCAGACCAGGAAAGGCTGCAAAAGCAACACAGAAAATTTGCTCCGTGTGCAGTGAGAGCTCTACACCTAAGGTACATGGACTCATCTGCAAATTACGTTAGGCAGTCTTTATCGACCCTGGAAAGCCCAGTAAAGTATATGCTTCAAGTCTCAAATGCAAGCGTCTGAGTATAGCGAGTCACTTTTGAGTAACTTTCTCAGTTATATTCTTCGTCGTACGCGTTACATTTATCGAGGCTCGTTTCGAAGTAATGCATCTTTCAATCTCTGTGCAAGACAGAAAATAAGTGTTCAAAGAAAAGGCTGGTTTTCCACCAAGGCTTACAATAAGGTAGGATTTTGTGACCGTGATAAAACTGCTTTGTGAGACAAACAAGCCCTCCAGTGGCGCATAACGATTATTATTAAAAAATTAGAAAGTAAATCAATAAAGGAAAATAGCCGTTATTTCTAAACAATCTAATATGACTATATTTAGGTGATAGCAATCTACTTCAACGTTTTTTAAGGATTTTTTTTCGAGTTCGCTTGGTGTCCTGTGAGGAACCTGTTATCATGCTTTAAAGTAAAAAAAAATTATCCTCAGGAAGTTGCGATGTAAAGCGTCGATCGGCCGAGCAATAAACGTAGAACAGTGGCGACTTCTGGCTGTTTACGGTGTTCATTTCGCTTGAAACGTTCTAATGCCAAGAATTTCCTTCCATTAAGATTTTCCGGTAGTTTCTCTCAAACTATTGAACCCTGTCATCGTTATTACATCGGTCCCAAAGCCACGGCACTCGATCTTCGTACCTCATATGCTTCGACTGCTACGTCCGACACCGCCGTTAGACATTCTATCAGGCGGTTCTCTCTCCGCTCGAAACGAAGTGTGTCTATATCCGGATTCAAATACAAACCACAACGTGTCCCTAAGATTAGCACCCAAATATATTACCTATAAAGCCATCACCCGGGGGGCTCGGTCTTTGTGCCTAAAAAAATCGTCTTTGTGTTTGAAAATATAAAACTCAACTGTGGATTGTTGATGACGATTTATGGTTTGTCTCTGACTCGGTCAGTTTAGCAAGGACAGAAAATCCACCCCCGTGGCCACAGAGTGGAAGATCCACAGAGTAGGTGCTCTAGTACTTTACTTCAGTAGATTCGTCTTGTGAATAGAATAGAAAAATGTTAAGTGAGAAATCAATTCCACACATTTTACAAACAACTTCTGTTATCAAATACAAAAAATCTAGGAGATTTTTTCTGTCATTTAATTTCCGGCTAGGGATCAACATGCAAACTACTGCCCAATCAAACACAGCTTCGGAAATCTTGTTCGTTGTATTTCGTGTTTGACATTGCGTAAATCTTTCCGCTAGGGAAGAATCGAGCTTTTAAAGTACCTAGAAAGGTTCTCAAGGTACTTTTCGGCATCATCCTTCACAACGGCTACAATCGTTTGATAACGGCGCATTTCAATTCAGATCATTGCGCCAGATGACTGAAATAGTTCAAGGTGAGAGGCCGAGTTTTTCCCTTTCCTGTTTCGAAGTACAATAATTCTGCTTATTGTAGAATGGACTTGGCTACAACTAGGCTGAAGGGAACAGCGCATAAGGGATTTTTTGACTTATGCAATAACGCTTGAAGTCCATGGCTCGTCCGAGGCATTCGCATGTAGTTCTGTCAATAAAAAAAAAAGCCGTTTTTAGCAGCTTTTTTTTTAGTCAACCAGAATCAAGGTGTCAATAACCATCAGGCCTTTAAAAAGGGTGTTAAACACACCTACGCAATCCGTATAGATATGGTGGATCTGTTGCACTGGCCCGTTTTCCCTCAACTTTCTTCCCCGGTATCTTCAGTCTTAGAGTACAGAACTGTCTGTTTCCCCGCCGATAGTAGTTCACGAGTGAATAAGTTCAATTTTGTGACAAGACAACGTCGGCGAATCAATACGGTGCGAAAATCGGCAATCGTCGACTTCTTGCTGGTTTTCGTATTGCCGCTATTGCACGAAACTGTTGTAGCTTGTTCCTCTTTTCGTGGTGGTCTGTGTGATTTTTGTACTGAACTGAACGACACAAGCGGGGTCATCGACAACTCAACGAGGCATAGCAGATCGGAGGGCGATTGAGGTAGAAAAGGAAAAAAGTGCATCGACTGAGGACCGGAAGAAAATGTAACCAAAGATGAGCTACAGCATTTCTGAAAGGGCTTCAGTAGCGCCACCAGCAGCAGTAGCAGCTGAGAGCTAAGACGTTAGGTTTAAACGAGACTGAGTGAGCAGATCGTCAACGATTGACGCCCTCGTGACGCTAGCCACCGCACCACGGAGCCATGGTTGACGTTTTGTCACAGTCGATAACAACAGTTTGTCATAGTGAAGGTCCTATGGGCTGCCGTTAGCTGGTCGGTTGCCGTGATGGAAGAGAAAACGTTTGGGTGTGAAGAAATCACAAAAATCTACTCCTGCAACTATTACAACTCTAACCGTTACGATTGCTTTTATCGCTACTACTGCCACTAGACTGAGTAATTGACATATCAAGCTATAAAAATAGAACGGGGAGCGCTGATACGCAGCTCAAATATAAGGGTT